GCCTCCCTGTAGGGAGAAGATGGGCTGGAGGGACCAGGCCGTGCTGGAAAGGTGAGCCTGGAGGTGACTTTGGGGCTGGGAGAGCACTGGGTCACACAGGGACAGGAGGATGGATGCTGCGGGGGCACAGCTGAGGTGGTCATCGAGTTTGGAAGGTGTCGTGCCAACCTGGGCACGGTGACCTGGGGAAGGGGCTCGGCCACAGCCTCCCTGCGGGCAGGGGAGTTGGGGTGATGCAGGAGGGGGCTGTGGCAGGGCTGGCTCTCCCTTGTGCCACCCCCAGCTGGGTCACAGAGCAGCGCTTTGGAAAGAAAAGGATCCCACCCGCGTGATGGGAAGGGGCTGTCAGTTTTGCTGTGCAGCTCCATTTTCTGGAAGATTTGGTGTTGCCCGTTCTGCACGCAGCTGGGGAGAAGCTGGCAAGGGTCAGCAGCGAGTCACATCTTGCTTTTTGACTTCTGGCGTGGGGCTGTCACTCCAAGGGACAAATTGCTGTCATGCTGCCACCCCTTCCCAGCTTTCCTGGGTGCTTCACTCACCACAATGAAATTGCCTGTGTGTAGGGGAGGGGAAAAAAATGCACATGAAAGTCGCTGAGGAGTCAAATTTAAAGTGGAAACCGAATGTGGCTGTTCCTGCCATGGTTGGGAAATGATGTAGTGGGGTTTTGCTTCGGTTTGAAATACTCATGTTGCGGATGAGACAAGTTTTGCAGCTTCTCCTTGTTGATTGCGGGGGAGCAGAGTGCTTGTTCCCGGCTGCTACGCAACCTTTAATCCAGGCACAAAGAAGGCAAGTCACGATGAACCCATTTCCCTGGCTCTTCAAAGCAAAAAGCAGCCAGGCCTGCTTGAGGGGGGAGAAAAAAAAAAAATAGTAATAATCATCACGGGGAGCAATCAGGCAGACTGATGTAACCGTGTTGTGTTTTATCTGCAGGATGTTGCTGTTGGGTACTTCAGATAATGGGCAGGCTGTCTCTGGGGAGGGGTTGGCCGTGCCTGGCACCCAACCTGGCACCCCCTCTGCCTGCTCTCCTTGCCCACTGGTGCTCGGCCAAGCCTCCCGAGTCTCTCCCCTTGCCCCACGGGCCCGTCACCGATGACAAATGGCTTCTCAAGCTTTCCTTGTGTAAACTAACGCTGCCGCTCTTCCCGGTGCCCGCCTCGCCGGGCGGCCCTGCCCGCGGTGGAGCCGGTTCAGGGCACGATTACGTGGCCTGGCTGGGAGGGAGAAGGCTGGGCAGGGGTGATGCATAGGTTGCCTTTGGCTCCTTACTTGCCAGCCGGGCTCGCCACTGCTCTGCGGGCTGGGATTGCGCAGGAGGGACCGGTCCTGCTTTCTGCTGCCGCTCTCGCTCGGTGCTGGAGGAAACAAAGCAGCCTTGTTGCATCCTGGGTGACCGGGATGTGGGGCAGGCATCCAGCCGAGCAAAGTCCCTTGTTCCCCGCTTCCCTTCTGGTTGGAGGAAGGGGATCACTGCCAAGGATGGCAGCTCTAGGCTTGTTTTTGCACTTGGCAGCCAGGTTGGCAGAGAGCGGTGCTGGGCAGGGGGGGTGCCTGGGGTAGGGGGTGTCTCTGGGGATGGAGCAGGACCCCAGCAGCCCAGGCTTGAGTTTTCACTGCACAGCCAAACGTGTCGGTCAGTGCCAGGGCCGCATCCTGTGGGTGCTCGCGTGACCCGTCGGGCGCCTGAGGAGCCTTCTGGCAGGAAACGAGCCCCTTTGTGGTGGTGATATTTCTCTGCTGCTTCCGCTTGGCCCTTGTCTGGCTCCCCACCAGCGCCAGGGGATGGGGGGGACTGGGACCTCTGGGGTTGCTGTGATGCTTGGGGCACGACACCCCAGAGGAGCCTTGGGGCAGGGACTGGGTCCCCAGGGTGTGTGACAGGAGCTTGATGGATAATTTTCCTGCCTCCAGTGCCCCTTCCCAGCGGGGACTCGGGGGGCTGGAGAAGGCAATGGCTTATTTTGGGAGGGGAGCAGAAGGCTGGGCAGAAGCAGCAGGAGCTCTTCAGGGCACATG